TTTAATTAATTCAATATAAAAAATAAAAAAATTATTTAGTTTCGGTTCTTATTCGGTTCTTCGGTTCTTGGTCTAGACCCGAGACCCGACCCAAACCCATCGGTTCTCGATTCGGGTACCCGTTCGGGTATTTAATTTTTGAAGAACCGCTCGGTTCGGTTCGGTTCGGTTCGGGTTCGGTCCGGTCCAGTTCGGTTCGGGACTTTTGGACACCCCTAAACGGAAGTCTCGGAACCACATATTGTGAGATTTAAATAATTTTTCTTATTATTTTATTCTTATTTTGCGTGTTGAATATTCTTCTACAATTATTTTCATGATTGTTATGTTTAATTGATAGGATGTTTACTAATTTGTTATTCGTTACAATCTACCGCTAAAGTAAATATCAAATCCGTAATTGTTTCATTCCTTTAACTTGTGAAGCGCTAGATTTGATGATTTTCTGCGATAGAGGTTATTGAATTTTAAGAAAAATGTTTAAATAGGTTGAATGCAACCGTTTGTATTTATGTTATCTAGTTCATCGATTTCTCTGTTGTATAAAACTGTTATTAAATTGAATTTTAAGCGCTGGTATGAAATTATTTAATAATTAGAGTTAATTAGATCGTTGATTTCTAACTAACTAAAATTAAAAAGAAATAGGAATCAATTCCAACGATGAATATTAAAAATATGAATTGAATTATCACTGCATCTATGATCAATCGTGGATTTCCGACGGTGGATGTGGACTTAGACCAACGTTAGTCTTTTGATTGTTTTCGTTAATTTAATTTTCATTATTATTGATTAAATTATTTACAATTGTTTGCATACAAAATCCCTCAATCATTGTACGAAACACAAAATATTGAATTACATACTTTTCGTGGGATCGATCCTTACTTCCACTACTACATTAGTTTTAGAGGTTTAATATATTATTTTGGATGCCTGCGACAGCACACACTAAAAACATAATAAGATTTATTTGCCTCTCATATTTTCAAATAAGAAAAATAAAACGACATAATATTTGTCCATCATTTTAAATTTAGATAGGAATCATCACTATAAACAAGATGCTACTTAATAAATCATCAATAAGAAAATGGTTAAAACTTTAGGTCATAACTTTGACAATGAAAAAAGCTTGGGACTTTAGTGCAATTAAATATTGGTTCAACAAAAAAATGTGACGACAGTATAATCACCTTGAGGAAATATGTTCGTGGGGAGTTAAGATCCGCTATCGTGACTTGAATGTCTCTTTGATTGTGCTACCACCAAAACTTTGACACCTGACTACAATGAGACGTCAAAAAATTATTGGGCATAATTAATCACGCTAAAAAAAATTTTAAAAATTAGTATTTCACTAAAGTGTCTAGACTCATTCTTGGGATTGTTATAATATGAGAATTAGGGGTCGGAAATGTGGAATTAGAATGGAAAAAGTTGATAACTTCCTATTAGTAACATTATATTTCGAGAAATAAAAAAACTTTTGCAAAGTTTCAAAAATTAGGCTACAAATTGGTAAAAACTATAATATTTAGACTATTATATATTGTAATAGTTTTGACAGGTTCCCAAAATTATAGAATTCATGCATATACTGATAAGTGAATATGAAATCAATCCCCTGCCCCCTAATGGGCAAGATAAAAACTTCCCTTGAAAGTAGGAGATCATGGCTAT